GGGAAGGGAGGAGGGAGAGAAGGGGGGTGTGTGGACGTTAGGACCTCTTCTTTTGAATGGTTTTCTCTGGAAAGTGTCCAGATTCCTCCCTTTGGATCATTGCGGCTAGATGGTAATCGGAGTGTTCTTGCCTCTCCTCAAGGAAATCAGGGGGCAATTCAACACCACACAATGAACATCTATAATCATCAATCCAGCAAAAAGGCTCCTCAATGAAAAGGCTGGTCATGCTATTTGATTCTGATTGATTGGTGGATTCCAAGTGCTGCATGAAATATTAAGATCCAATTGTTCAGTTCCAATTAAGAAAAACTCAAATCACAACCAGATATCCAAAGAAGTTTCCAAATCATTTAAGAAGTCAGGCTTTAACTCAGTTAGTTGGGAATCTTAAATACAGAATAACTGAAGAAGAAAAAGAAGAAAACACTAATTTATTCAGATCTGATAAAGCAAATATAGAAAGATATACAGGTAAAGAGAAAATATAGAGAAATCTACTCCATTAAGGTCCAACTGTAGACAATAGTTTTACTTCATAAACTCCTTAAAAAAATTTAAATATCTCGAAGATTAATCTCGTAAAGACCATCTTTATATGCAAAGAGGTTACAAGAGCTCAGAGCCACACAAGTTAATAAGTAGTCAAAGTTAGAGATGACTGTGAACCTGGTCCGAAGAACTCTCGTTTCTCTCTATTTTGAAGTTGTCCAGCAAGCCATCTCCATAATGTTCCAACTCGTGTAGGTGATTGAAATCAGGCAGGTCTCCAGAACTGCGAATGTTCCCTGGTTCACTATGAAGAGTTGCATTTGAGAGGCAGCTTCCATGGTCATCTACAAAACTATCATTAAGAACATTAGCATTGAGCTCATGGCAACCAATCACTGCATTGATATTTTCCCTATTCGAACCCAGAGTCATTGAAGAAGAAGAATCTACTGAATTGAATATTTCTTCGAGAGTTCTTTGGATAGGTACACCACGTCCAATTCTATCATCATTGAACTGGGACATACGCAGGCCTGACAAAAATCACATTGAATCAGATATTGCAATACATGGACCGTAAACTTCAAATCAATCAGGTCTGAGAGAACATTTCCAAGCAGGAACTTCTATTTGATCAACCCAGCCAGGCAATTATAAAAATTCTTTTGTAGCCCTTCCATAATAGCAATGCAAAAACAAAATCAATGTCCACTGCAGAGGGACTCCAAAGCTTGCTCTGGACTCCAAATGAGGTAACATGGATCTTAGTCAAAGAATCACTCTCCCCAATTTGTATCAGTCGAAGGCATAAATTTAGCACTAGTAAAGGAAGAAAAAAAGGGAATGTCACTTCAGAAAAGTAGGTTCAGTTTCTCAACAAATGATATCAACAATGATATTCCTTTATTTTCTAGGTTAGGAGATGATGAATGGAAGATAGGAACTGGAGGTAGACATCCTGTCACCAAAATGTCATGTGATTTTTAACATGTTATCCACAAAATAAGGTTTTGGGCAGGCTCCAATGTGGTATAAAATTTGTAAATAGACCTTCTAAATAATCAAAACATTGTCTTTCCTTTAAAAATTAAGTCTTTCTTAGGAACAGTAGTTGCATAGACCTACAGAATGGGTATTTATGTTGCATGGACATGACTAGTGTGTCAGTGTCTGACATGGGCACAGAGTGTTAGATTCCTTGTGCCATGAAAGAAGATGATTCGGTGAAACGGCTAAATTATGAAGAGAACCAAATGTGATAATGTTTTACTAATATTCCCTTTCATGGAGTAGCAGGAAATAACCAATTATACCGTAATTGGCTGAATCATTAGATAGTTTCAAGGTTCTATAGACATTGTCAAAGTTCACGTGTCTATTCGAACAAAAAGGACGATCAGGTCTAAAAACTGATGTAATTAATGGTTCGTAAAGACGGAGAATCCAGAAGAAACTATTCCAGTATGTGTCTCAAGAAGTGTCTGATACGGATATGGTGCCCAAATAAAAGAATCCATGTAAAATAGGGTATTGGGCGTATAGAATGCTAAAGGGAAACCTTGGAAGATTGAGGCCTTCTAGTTTTTGTGATTACCATCGTGCAGTTTTCTTAAGAATAATAAGGGAATCCTAAATACAAATGGCCTCTGGATGGAGCTACACATTGTGGTGAAACACACAAACCTAGTATATGTTTATCACTACTCTTAATCTTTACGTTATTCAGTAAATGTGCTTTGATCGACACATTGCAACTAATTAAAGAGCAGGAGCTTATTTAAAATTGTCTAATTTATGAGTAGTAGTATCAGAGGTTTTAGATTTGACAATGTAAGTAGGTTAGTTTATAGGTGAATGGTGATGGTGGGAGGTCAACAGCAAGCAACCAATGAAAATGGGCAAACTTCACCATGGACAATACTATCAGCCTAAACTTTTTGGGATCAGCAGGCAACATATTTGCAGTCTGATATATCTCAAGTGATTTCTTTAAATTGTCTAGCAAAGCATCCAATGTGATTATGAAGCAATGAAGACAATCTTTGAAAGGCAAAAAAAAACAAAGCTGAAGAGTCTAATTGGTTTAATGACACTGCCACTTTTTGACAATGTTCACTTCTGCCATTGAGCCCCAATGAGTATGCCATATTCTAGGTTAATGCTGGTAGCCCTATCCACTTTTCATATTATCTGTGCACCAACACATCCAAAACCTCCACTTGCTTTAAGCAACAGCAAAAACAGTGAACTGTAGTAAACCCCTGATCAAAGGCATAAGACTCTACTCAATGGAGCTAATAGTCTGGGCCCCGACCATAACTCCAAGTATTACAAACTGTAGAGCCAAAACATACACAAAGAGTACGATCATACACTATGAAAGTCAGGATGTTCGAAAATGGCACCATTGAGATGCCTGTTATTCAAATGAGGATAGGTTTAACCAAAGAAAAAGAAAAAGAAAAGGTAAAAACTTCTCCATGAATAAGAAAAAATAAAACAGCCAAGTTAAAATTTAAATCAGCAAAGTTTATCCAAATGAATCATCTCGCATAGGAAGATACAGCTCCAACAAACGTCGACTATTTACCAACATGTAGATCCCCTCACATGGTATCCTTCAAGATCCATAACCATTTAAACTGCCATAAGAGAAAATTAAAAATAAAATAAAATGACAACAGTATCGCACTTGAATATTTTGGAGGAATGATCAGGTATCATGCCATTTATAGTGACTAGAACAGACAAACTTGCGCAACATTTCTTTCCCAACATAGAAAATCAATTCTTTACAACAAGAATTCTGGACCCGATATGGATCATACCAATTAACCTCAGGGAACCAGGAAGCTCTGCCTTCAACAACTTGGAAGCATGACATAAGATGTCTTCCTTTGAATTAACATACCGCTGCAAAGAAACTGCTCTAGTTCGAACCTGCAGATTTGCCAATGTATGCGAGGAAAGTGAGAAAACATAGTGAATCCAAGGGCATGGATGCAAAGTAAATCTAGAGGACCTCAAAGGTTGAAGTCTTTATTTTGAGGGTCAATGTCCGCCCATAAAGGTCATCCTTCTTCATGTCATTTGATAATGTTTCCGCAATATCTTCTGAAATAAGAAGCTTATAAGATATGATCTCAAACAAAATAGAAAAGGGGCAAATACTAGAAACAGAAAAATGTGATTACCCAATTTATGGAAAAGCAGTGTCTCATCGCTAGTAGCTGAAAATGTCCGTTCACTGCTCATACTCTTCCGGGGCACATACTGAGGGGTTCCTGTTTTTCCTAAACCCAGCCCCACAGAGAGGAAAAAATCTGGCAACAAAACATTTAAGTGCTTTCTTAATTGAAAAAGCAAGAATACCAGAAAGTTTCGGAAATATGCAAGAATGGGACTTGATAAAAACATAAACCACTGTTGCAGCAATTCATAGAATCACGATGAACAAAATATTACAATAAATGAATCAACTAGGATTGTTTACCAATAGAAGTATCATTCCGTCATTAGAAAAGGATAGTCAGGCAAAAAGTTGGACAATAAGGCTGGACTTTATTGATATGTGACACTTAATGCAAGGTAGAAATGCAAATGTAGTTCTTCCAAAGTAACAAAAAGCCATCACGATAAAGAAACATCTCACGATAAACACATGCATAGAGTCCCTTCCTCGTCCCTCACAAGCATGCACATGCACGCAATGCTCTAAAGACCAGCAACTGAATTGTGAGGGATACCTCACCCATGGCTTTGGAGTGTGCTTCAAGGCACATTACCAAAAGGGTTGTGCCTTGAGGCCAAATCTTTTGCATTAAGATAAGGACCACCTTAACACATTCCTTGCAAAGCAATTAACTAATTTTGGTAACTCTCATTTGCAAAAGATGATCTTATTTGCACGTATATACAAGTAAATTCTTAAATTTCAAACAAGCAGTCATTTTACCATGGTCAATGGATATTTGGTGCAGATTCTAGAGGGATAGATTTGATAGAAAGAGGAGGTCGGATGATTACCTCCTATTCAATGGCTTCTGTAGCAAAGAATTGACTGCAAAGAGCAGAGTGCCACAGAAAGGGAAGCACATGGAAGGTGCATGGAATTGTGAGTTTTTCAGGGAATGCCTATGTCAGAAAAATGTAGATGATTTGATTAGTGTGGGAATGGAAATCTTTGGATGCCTCATCTATTAATCAATAAAACATTTTACTAATGAAAGAAGACGGCTTCCCTACGAGGAAACTTCAAGAGAACAAGGCCCCCAGTGGATGTCAAATTTTTTCCTGGAGTTGTCACACTAACGTGATGCTCTTGAGCAGAGAAGCAGCATTTATAACCTCAACCACAGGTTTATTGCACTGATCGTGCATGTACTAACATCAAAACTGAAATGAGTGTTTTCTCCAAGGAAAATAATCAATTGAACCCCAACCAAATGGTTTATCTTCCCAGTTGCTGATTTTGTTTATAAAGATTTTTTTCGAGGAATTGATGCATAAAAGAAATGCAGAAATTCATGTCAGAGGTCAAGATCAGGGGAATCACAGGTAACTCACACTAGGAGCAATTGAATAAATGCATATCTTGATCCTAGCTTTTTACACCCTGATACAGTAAAACCATAGAGCATTCAATAGAGCCCAGAACTACCTTTTACTTATCCAATATTCCAATCTCAGTAACCAGCTAATCAAACACTATAAAGGCATGAATCCTGCATTCTTCTATGTAAGCTTGAGCATTATTTTCACATATACGTAGTTCTACTGCACCTTATAAACTTTAGATAGGGCATGAGAATATCAAAACAATATATACAAACCTGCAGAACATTGAGGAAACAGCGCATAAATATAGCCACGCTTTTGCTGCAACTCCTCACAAGTAGTGATTCCAAGAACATTCTTCAGAATTTGTTCAGTCACCTTCCCAATACCACCAATCTGTTGTATCATGGAAATTCTTTATAGCTTATATGTGATAACACAAAACAATTCCCGCTATACTTAGTTACATCATTCAAATTCAAAGTTATCACGAAGTATACTCTCTTTCCAAGATTTTGGCAGATATAGTGGATAGTTGAACTCTAAATGATGTTCAGAAATGTGCATGTTTTTCCAGTACTTTATTGCATGCAGCCGGTCTTTTATGTTGATCAACCAATGTATTAAACAACCACATAGAGTGTAGTGCCACACTCCATAAACATAGGAACTTATGCTTCCAAACCAATCATGTAACATATTAACTATAATTAGTTGATTCTTGGAAGAAAGAAGGACCATGAATATCCAGCACTAACAGCCTTTCACCCTTATCTATAAAAGAGATCATAGAATACAAGAAAACGGCAAGCCAATCAGGCACCACGATGGCAGTGGAACCAGAGAAAGGCTCAGGCTAAGTTATTATGGTACATGCACATATGGGTATGCATGTGGCCTCTTCGTCAACCATCCCAAGGTTCTCTATCCCCCAACCTTCCACCTCACCATTGGCCAGCCCCCACACTCCCTCTCCCCTTTAGTGGACTCTAAGTTTGTGGACAACATGGAAAACAAATAGGGGGACATACTCCAAGTTCTGAAGATTATGAGTTTCGACTGCGACGGTCACAAGGAGGCCATCGAAGCCTTTGTCTCTACAGATGCCAGGACCAAACTCAAGGTCAATGCCAAAGCACAGAGTGGGCTCGCCAAGCTCACTTTTGGTATAAATTACAGCAGACCCGACCATTCTGACCCCCCAGCCCTCCCTGTCCCTTGACCTCATCTCAACCCCAGCGCTCGCCTAGACGAGCCTCTGCTTCCACTCCCAGTCCATGAAACTCCTAGTTTGGAATATCAGGGGACTTGGCGACCCCTTAAAACGTTGCAATGTTCAAGATCTCTCAGCTCAACTCTCCCCTGCAGTGCTTGCCACGATAGAGACCAAGTTGCCTCTCCCCCTCATCAGACCAGTATGGGGTTCTTGTACCTGCCAGTGGGAGGGCATTGGAAGCACGAAGTGCTTCCAGGGGCATCTAGGTCATCTGCGATCCCACCCTCAACTCCCTCTCTTCCTCTCATGTGGGAGATTTTACTGTGACCATTCTTAAGAATCTCTGACAACTCGCTGTGGAAATTTACCACAGCTTACGGTCCCAACTCAAACACTTTAAGGCCATTTTTTAGAAAAGAACTTGATTTCCTAGCTTCACATCCCCCTCCCATCTCGTGCATAGGACGTGCCGAAGTGGTCACACGAGAGGAACTCGCGTTCTAGAATAACCTCACAAATGATGGATTTCTCAGACTTTATGGCAAGAAACCAGCTACTCGACATTCCCCTGTAGGGGAATGAATTCACATGGTCCAGCCATTCAATAGAACCTACCCTTTCCAAAATTGGTAGATTCCTCACCTCCCTTGAATGGGATGTGAGCTTCCCTGGTTCCCACTCCTTCAACTTGCTGAAACCTACCTTTGACCATCGACCCATTCCCCTGGACTTCTCTCTGGCCCCTTGTGACCCAAAACCCTTCCGTTTCGGAATTGCCCGGCTAGAGGAGCCAAACATTTCAAACCTTATCCCCTCTTGATGGAATTCCTATTCTTACCAGGTTCAAGGATGGGATGGCTTTGACCTAAAACAAAAACTACAACTCCTCAAAGCTAACCTCAAAGAATGGGCTAAACATCTTCACCTAGAAGGAATCTCTCCTCCATTCAATCAACCTTTTGGACTCCACCAAAGAGAACCGCACGCTCACCACTTGTGAGAGGAACCTTAGAGCTCCTCCGCAAAGAAGAAATCTAATGGTCATAAAGATCTAGGGTTAATGGGCTCAAATATGGAGACTACAACACTGCCTTTTTCCATAAGACTGCAAATTGCAGGAGGAGAGACAACACTGTCTCCCAACTTAAAGGGGAAACAGCACCCTAGACCAAGCCTTTATAGGCTACTTCTCTCTTCCAGGCGCACTCAGGTCCTAGACCCACCTTGGCTAGTTTGAATTTCTAATCCCCCCCAAAAAGGCCGCATGGTTAGAACATCCCTTCTCTGAAGAAGAAATCGTTAGGGCGGTTAGAAACCTTGGCCATGACCATGCCCCTGGACTCGTCGGGTTCCCCATCTTGTTATTCAAATCCTTCAGGGATGTACTCAAACCAGATCTTTTAGCCTTCTTCAATGAATTCCACACTCTAGGGGTACCATCCACAAGGCTATGAATGCCACATTCATTGCCCTCATTCCCAATATTTGTGGGGAAGAAGAACTCAAAGAGTTCCGCCCAATTAGCCTCATATACTCTACACATAAAATCCTATCCAATGTTCCCACCAAGCTAAGGGAGGTACTTAGTTGGGTCATTTCCCCATCTCAGGGTTCATTCTTTAAGGACCTCCAAATTCTCGATGGGCGCCTTGGTGGCTCACAAATGCATCCACTATAGACATCTCCCCAAGAATGTTGGGGTAGTCATAAAGCTCGATTGGGAAAGGCTCATGACAATGAAGATTGGGAAATTCTCGATGCTACTTTACTCATAATGGACTTCGGCCAAAACTGGAGGGCTTGGATGCGAGGGTGCATTTCCTATCCCTTCTCCATCCTAATAAACGGTTGACCCAGAGGCTTTTTCCCCTCTTTCAGGGGTCTGAGGCAGGGAGACTCCCCAATCATCTATCTTATTTCCAATAGTTGCTGAGGTCTTCAGTAGATCCATCTCAGGCCTATATAACCATGGCTTGCTAAAGGGCTTCAAAACAGGCAACAATGGACCTAAAATCCCCAATCTCCAATAGGCAAACGACACCTTCATGCAACACCTCTCTCCACCAGACAAACACACTGCTTTGTTCCTTAAATGCTTTGAAATGGCCATTGGTGTCAGAGTAGATATGGACAAACTAAAATCATAGGACCTGCGGTTGATCCTCTTGTGATTGACCATTTTGCCAGTTGATGGGGTTGCAAAGTAGACTGTTACGTGGAGGGGTTGCTTCCTCTCCTCAGCCAGTCGGGTCACTCTCATCAAGGCCACCTTGTCCAACATCCGCATTTTTCAGAAGTCCCTCTTCCACATACCCTCTTCAGTGGTAGCTCGACTTGAACAGCTAATGAGGAATTTTCTCTGGGCTGGAGAAGGACATAAGTTCCTTCTCATTTCCTGGGCTAAAGTTTGTTCTCCCAAATCTCAGGGAGGGCTAGGCATCCGCTCTCTTACAGCTAACAACTTGGCCTCCTTAGGAAATGGTGGTGGCGCTTTGCCACCCAATTGAACCACCTTTGGCAATATGTGGTTAGAAACAAATACCACTGCAGAAACTCAGAGTGGCTCCCTAGGGAAAGAGCCAACAACAACGCCTCAGGTATTTCGAGACCAATCATCCAAAGCCTTAACCCATTTAAGGCTAACATTTGCTTCAGACCCCGAGAGGGAAATAGGGTCCTCTTCTGGAATGACCTATGGATAGGCCACTCCCCTCTCAAGGAGAGATTTCCCAATCTCTTCCTCCTAGCTAGGGACCCTCTGGCATCAGTTGGATAGGTGTTTGAACTCACAAATTCCGCTAGAGTGTGGAATCCCAACTTCAGAAGGCCTTAGATGGATGAAGAGGTCCCAAACTTCCTAACCCTCGCCTCCCTCCTTAACTCTATCTTTCTCCCACTCTCTGGGCCAGACAAGCTGATCTGGTCGCCGTCCCCCATCGGGACCTTCTCGGTTTCCTTTTTCTATAGAGCCATCCAAAATGCCAGCACCCCTTCTCAATAAGCTACATCCATTGTAGCCAAAGCTTGGGAGGAAATCCTCCCCCCTCCCAAATTCAAGTTTTCAGCTGGATTACAATAGCCGAAAGGGCCCTCAAAATCAACCAGCTTCAACAAAGAGGAATCCTGATTGCTAACAGATGTGCCATGAGCTCCTCAGAAGAAAAGACTAATGCTCACTTGTTCCTGCATTGTGAGGTCGCCACCTCATTATGGGGCTATTCCCTACAGTTGTTTAACTGCCCTTGGGTTATGCCTCAATCCATTCCTCATCTCTTTTAGACCAGCCATGGCATAAGTTGAGTACACTCCTCTGGAGGGCAGCTGTGGGAGCAATAGTTCAAATCTAATGGATGGAAAGAAATTCCAGAATTTTCAGGGCGAAAGGTCCTCGATCGAGTTAATCCGAGTCCCTCATAATCTCATGGCCGTAAAACAACAAACGCTTATCCCACTTCTCTTACTCAGAATTTTACCAAGACTGCCCCGCTTGTCTTTGCCTTAGGCCCCACCATAGGCCTTGCACCTCCATTTGGAGGTCACCAGAGAAAGGCTAGACCAAGTAAAATTTTGACAGTTGCTCCTTAGGCAACCCAAGTCCTCCGGGCATCGGAGGCCTCTTTCGAGACTCATATGACACCATCCTCTTCTGTTATTGCGGTCTATTGGCCATGCCGATTCTAATACGGCAAAGGCATTACCCTACTTGAAGGCTTCTGAAATTTTAACCCAACCTGGAACACTAAACCGGTTGTTGAGGGGAACTCTAGAAATGTTCTCTCGTGGGCCTCTAGCCTCACCTTGTCCCTGGAGACTGGAGAACATATCCAACGAAATCTTTCACATTTGTAGGGTGGCTAATGTGGCAGCCGACTCTCTCACTAGGGAGGGTGCCTCACAGATGAAAGCATCCTAGGGGAACCTATTTTGCTACTTATTGTGATCGCAACCCCCGACTTTTTGAATACTTGTATTCACAGATCCAAATGTATAGCATTTTTTGAGAAACCTTAGGGGGATTGATACCTTTTCTTGGACCGCTAGGGGTTTTTGTATTGGGCATCCGTCTTGTGGGTCCCTTAGCATACTCTTTGCAATTCTACCCTTTCTTTTCCCTTAGCCAAAAAACAGTTAACAGTTTCAAAAAAAATATTAGAAACTAAACATGACTCGAATACCAAGCAGTAAAGGATTACCTTGCGTATTGGAAGAGATGATATAAATGTCATGACAGCCATCCGATCATTTTGAAGAACAAACTGTCCATTAGGTTTATTGATATCTGAGCACACCTGAAATACAAGAGGTAAGGGTAATTGGACTGTACCTGCACATACGTTACAAATCTTGGCACACAAAATACATAGGATAGAAGGCAAAATGATTAAAGTCACAACAGCGAACTCTCATAAAGGAAAGTAATACGTCTAAGAGACATTATGATACACAAAATTTACATAGAAAGACCCTGTTTGAACATCTCGATTTTTCAAGTTAGGGATAAAAAAACCTTAAGATTGCCCCAAAATAATGGCTTTCCAGTTTGGCAGACCACTATTCATATGTACTTGTTCAGGTAACAAACCCCGACTTATTCGTCACAAGCAACAACAGACTATATATATATATATATATATAGTTATTTGCCAAAAAACAAGGACAATGCCAGGGCCATCTATATGGAAATGATTGCCTATTTTGACGAATACTGTTAGAGGCAGTTAAAGATAAGACTGGGATGGGGTTGTGACGTCCAAACAGGGCCAACATGTCCACATATGAGGCTAATGCATTCAAGTTTATAGAATTAAAAATCCCCCAAATTATTATCCTTTTTTTTATATATGTAATTATTCTCCATGTTCACCATAATGGTAGTATTTCACACAAACAAGGTAGCTAATATAACCTTTGCAAGCAAGCGATTTGGTGCCACCCCAGCACTGCATGTGAGACCTGTCTCCTTGTAAACCCCATCACAAAGCTCCTCAGCAACCTTGAAAATAAATAAATAAATGAAAATGTTAAAGCAAGAATCTATAGTTTCAAAATAACCAAATTCTCTAACTTACTTCTCTGCCATCCATGCCCTGTTCTTTACAAATCACGGTGACATCAAGGTATGCTTCATCCAAACTAGTTGCAATGAAATGAGGATCATATCTCTGGAAAACTACAGAAACAAACACCATATTTAAGTATAAAGAGGACTTTTGATTCCTTGAGTCCCAGAAAATAAAGGTCAAGATCTGAAATAACCTTTTCTTGCTAAGTCGCTATAAAATTGATACTTCTTGAAATCGGGAGGAACAAAAGACAACTCTGGGCACAATTTCCGAGCAATAAAACCAGGCATTGCAGCTCGAACCCCAAATCTCCGAGCCTAAGAAAAAATGCACATTGACCCATCAATGATTTTGTCACATATCAAAGTATAGTAGGCAACTATCATATTTTCAAGGCTTCCTCTCAATCACTTTAGGCAAGCCAATTAAAGAGCCATACAAATGCAGTAGCAATCCCACTATTGTTATTTATAGATAAACAGCAGAGATCACTCACCTCATAATTAGCCGTGCAGATCATAGACATACTACCAACTGCCAATGGCTTCCCCCTTAAGGAGGGATTTTCTAGCATCTCAACGGCTGCATAGAAAGCATCCATATCAACATGCATCCAAATCCTTGATAGGTTACGAGTAGCTTCCAACTCCAAAACTCTTTTGTCAGCAATCTATGATTCCACAGTACTAGTTAGACATCATTAAATGTACAAAAAACACCCATCGTCCACTATATCAGGGGAAGGATCAAAACATCTAGCCATTCTAACAGAAGCAAAACATCCAATTCTTCGTCCAATTGACTCAAATTGCCTCATTGAGCCACAAACGATGAGAAGGACTTATGAGATGCTCATCAGATTCTACACAGGTTAAACTTAACAGTCATATACCCAATATTAAGCGCTAGCCTATTTCACAAAATATTAGTCGAGAGAGAAGTTTAGTCAATCAGATGAAGATAGCATCTTTAATGAATACATGACCAGCAAGGCACTCCCCTACAAGAATAAAAATCACCGGCAATTATGGTCAATTCAATGGGTTTCATTATGGTCAGTTCAAATGGGTTTTATTTGAGCTAGTAAATAATTATTTGATTAAAAATGGATACTATTGAATTGTGCTTCTTATTGCCTTTATGAAATTTGAAGCACCAAATTCTCGACACAAAACAAATGCAAGAAAGTTTATTCTTTCTAAAAATTTCAAGGGGTCCATTCAATAGTATTTCAAGGAGTGGCTCCAAGAAATATTACACAAATGAGCAACATAAAATCCATTTAACCATCTTATCATTTTCAAAGACATAACATATCAAATTTTTGATCCATTGAAGATATTGCTGGTCCCAAGCTCAATGAGAAAGGAGAAGGGTTGAGTTAGACTAGTAGCCAGAGGAAATCTTTCACCCCACGCCTACCAAATCCCTTGAAGACATGCTATCATGCAAGCCCAGCCATAGCCCTAGTTAAAAACTTGATAATAATTATAGAACATTAGCAGGAGACAAGAGGGCCTTGGTTTGATAAACTATATTAACAAGTAATTTAAGCATGGCATTCAATTCAAGTAATCTAAATCCTGTGAGCTACCAATATATATTCCACTTGTATTATTTACATATCAACTAAAAATAAAAAAAATGGGAGGCAAAAAGGATTATGATGAATCAAAGAAATGGCTTTCACGGCAAATTAGATAGAGATCAACAATAACCCAATATCGAACTTCTATAAGTAGAAATCAAATGAAAACCATTAATAGCTAAGATATTGAGACTTTTGAATAACGTAAAATTCATGAATTATACCTTTTCAAAATGTGACAGTTCATCCTTTGTCAGATTTTCACAATGAGAACGCATACTATCCACTCTTTGCTGAATAGAAGCCTCCTTTCTTTTCTCATTTTCAAAATATTTTGATCCTTTGCTCATCTCATAGACTATCTTTTGCACTCTCTCCTTATCAACTCCATCCATCCCTATAAATTTTAAACGCAAACTTCTTAAATTTATAAAATTTACCAAAAAAAAAACGACAAAAATAATACAAGAAGCAGGAAAAGCCTAGGTTTATGAGACAATTCTGATAAAACCCTAGACTAGAGTACCCAAGCGACCAGAAAAAGCCTTCGCTGAAAATTGCTCAAGTGCAGAGGTAATCGAGGAGAAAAATTACCAGCTTTTGCATTGGTGTAGACTGTGTTGTATGATTGCCATGGCCGATCTTGTTCCTCCCCTTTTGCCTCCATTTCTGCCATTTCTTCAATAAACCGAACTAATCAGCCATGAATAAGCCCTCAAAGGAAAGAATGGCGCGTTTGAATGAACCACAAATGATCATCGGGCTTCCGCGGAAAGTTTGCTTATTTTGCCGCCTTTTTGTATGTGGGTTTAGTTTGTAGGCTCAGGTCCTAAACAATCAAATTAAGGCGCACCTTAAGATAGTGTCAAATGATGTTATTTCAATACTAAAAATTTTTGTAATAATGTGAAAATCTATTTTTATATCTAATTATAAAATTTAAAAGCTTTAAAACTAGTGTAGATTGAGCAGATCTATGAATACTTAAACATATTGATAATTGATGATCCAAAAAATGTATTAAAGAATGCAATGCACATTCATATACCTTGATGTCAAGATGATTGATTTGAGGATTTTTGAGGATTGAAACAGCCTCTTCTAGTGAATTTTTTTAATACGCCTTAATTTGATTGTTTAAGGCCTCACCTTTATATAAACTTTTTCTTTTATACAAGTTAGGCCCCCTCTTAATTTTGTGGGAAAAGATTGAAAAAGGCCCAAGTCTAGTGGGAACAAAGATAAGCCTCACCTCAAAACTTACATAATGTATTTCTAGCAATAGAAAACTATCAAATCGATCATCTTGAACATAATCATTATGATTGCAAAAAATAATGGATTTCAAGCTCTAAAAATAATGTATATTGTAACTAATTATCTAAACCGTTCATTTTAAGTGTTCACAAATCTACAAGATTTGAACCTTTTTTGCACTTCAATTTCCACTGCCGATGTTGGAAATTAATTTTAGAGTCATCATAAAGATTTATGATGCCTAGAGTATTTTTAAGACAAGGTTCTAAGGTGAGGCATCACTTTCTTTACGTAAAGCCTAGCTCTTTTATCCAGTAGATGTAGTCTTGGCATCGGAGCTTGAAAATCCATGTTCAATCCTAATTATAGAACTTAAAATTTTAAAACTAATACAGATTGAAAAGATCTATAAATCATTAAAATTCTTGAAAATAGATGGTTCAGATAATTTGTTGCAATATATACTACTTTTAAGATTTGAAATTCATTTTTCTTTATATCCATATAATCTCAAGGTTAAAATGGGCCATTAGAAGGTTTTTTAAAGTCAGAGCACTCTTTTATAGTAGATTTTTGAGGTGCACCTTACTTCTATAATGTAAGGGTGACCTTATACAATGTTTTTCCTTTTCTTTAAGTGTGCGGTTAGCATGAGGCCCTAGTTAAAAATAGGTAAAAATGGACCTCAAAATCAAGCTGTGTTCCTGAAAATTTAATTGTTGTCCCATTATAAAATTCGAACCTCCAAAGTTGGTCCATGTCTAAACACTTAAAAGGAAAAGGTTTATATAAAGTGTCAACCTTGTACAAATAAGGTGAACCTAAAAACCCATTGGAGAAGTTGTTTTAATGCTAGAAAACGTACAAATTGATAATCTTGAGATTGAGTTTTATGGATATAAAAAATAAAAAATAAAAAAAAAAGATTCAAATCGAAAATAATTCATCTTTTAACACATTATCTAGAGTGTCCATTAACACATTATCTAGAGTGTCCATATTCAAAATGATCTTTCTAGTATTGATTTTCAAGGTATAAAGGAGGGAGATATAGTAGGCTGGGAGAATGAATTTGTTAGACATTTTTAGAAGGTTTTTACTTCAAAGCAAGCCTTTAGAGTTTCCTTGGGAGGTATTCTTTTTAATGTGCTCCCACAACATGTTGTTACTTTCTTGGAGGCGCTTATTTCTTTGAAGGAGTTGCAGTAGCTGGCGTTGTTTTCTTTGCCAGGGGGCAAATCATCTAGACGAGATGGTTTCCCTCTTGCTTTCTTTCATAAATTTTGGGAGTTGCTAAAATTTGATTTGCTTCAAATGATAGAAGAGTTTATGGAAAGAGGGATAGTGGATAGAGGACTAAGGATGTCATTTTGGATATTAGAGATGTGCAGCCAATTAGTTTGCTCAGTAGCCTTTATAAGATCATTGCTAAAGTCTTAACAGAAAGGCTGAAAGTTGTACATCTTTCCATTATAAAGGGGCCCCAGTCAGCATTTGTGAGGCATAGGATCATAACGCATAGTATTTTTGTTGTTCAAGAATATATCCACACGAGAGCACTAGAGGGGGAACCATGAGTATTACTAAAACTCGATATAGATAAGGTATATGATAGAGTGGAGTGGTATATTCTTTTGCAGATAATGAGCCGTATGGGTTTTAGTGAGAAATGGCGAAGATGGATTTGGACTGCCTTTCTAGTGCACATTTCACTGTCATTGTTAATAACTCCCTAGAGGGTTTCTTTAGTGCTACTAGAGGAATTAGGCAATGTGAGTTGTTGTCGCCTTTTCTTTTTAACTTTGGTGCATAAGCTTTTTGTCTAATAATTTCTAAGGTTAAGAGTTTGAGTAAGATCTCTGGCTTTAAAGTTTGGGAGGACGAATCACTTCGGTTAGGTCTTTGGCAAAACCTACTTATTTATTAGATGATATTACATTTGATGCTCTCATCTTTTTGCAAAGAACTTGAGAAGTTGATAAGGAATTTCATATGGGGAAATGTAGATCAGAATTTAAGATATCATTTGATGAGTTGCAGTAAGGTGTGTGCTCCTAAAATAGGAGGCTTGGGGATTAGAAAACTTAAACTCGTGAATTGTCCTTGATGAAAAAAAGGTGGTGGCTAACTACGCATTGTGAGGGCCAGTTATGGAGGCAAGTTATTGAAGCAAAATATAGGTTTAGCTTAAACTATGTCTTGTGTGGTCGAGAAGGATGGAGTAGGGGGGTTCTCATTTTTGGATAGGTATTTGGGGAGTGAAAAACATTGTGACTAAGAATGTAAGGTGGGTTATTGGAAGAGGTGACAAGATTAGTTTTTGGCACCGCTGGTGGTTGAGAACCTATCCTCTCAATCTTTGTTATTGACAATTGTTTGATAGGGTTGCTAATGAGGCTGCATTGGTGGATGACATCTTTTATTGAAATGTTGATTGTGTATATAATAGAGTGTCGGATGGTCTTTAATCAGTTGTCATCATTATTCAAGATGTTAATTATATTTATATCTCTAGAAACTATGAGGATGCGATGGTATGGGAATGTGAGCAAGATGGGGTCTATTCGGTAAAATCTGCTTATAAACTTCTTTATCATGATCAATATAAAGAAGTGCATAGTTCATTGAATGTAATTTGGAGGTTGCCTATACCACATAAAATCCAAGCTTTCTTGTGGTCCTCCTTCAAGGCAAATCACTTACTATTGATAATTTCATAGAAAGAGGTAAGGTCCTGGTAAATATTTGTTTGCTTTGCAAAGCGGATGATGAGAATGGTAATCATCTCCTTTTACATTGTCCTTTTGGAAATGCCATTTGGGGATGGGCCTTTGGTTTACTGGGGGTTCATTTGATGTTGCTTCAAGAACAAACTCTAATTTTTCGACATTTGGATGTCCCGATGTAGACACCCTCTAGAAATTCTGGGTAAGGGAACTCCTAGAAACTTCAAGTCTAAGGCCTATTGATACCACTAATCCTAATGAACCATAGTAGACCGAAAGCTATTAGAATTGTCCTAAGATCACCGAAAACCTATCTTAATACCCTCACATAGTCATCCTATATACCCATGATCCTTGTAAACTTAAAAAACTGACCCGAACACCAATTTGACACTCTATGACCCAAAATCGAGACCCTGAAGTCCTAACCTTATAGACCCCTCAAAAGTACCTCAAATTTGACCAAATTTGGTTCCATACTATAGAGGAGGTCGTACGTTTTCCAACGGTCCAATAATCCGACTTATGATTAGAAAGTTATTGCTTAAACAAAATTGTTCAAGAACATGTTAGAGCAATCCTCAATGCAACCCACTCCGTGTCGCACGAGGGCCGTACACCACACGGAGGGTTAGGCCGCACAACTTGCGACACATCACACGGCCCGATGGGCCCAGAGTCCTTTCTGGTGTTTTGGAAATACTTTTTGAGGTGGTTCTTTAACAGGATAAGCTCAAAAAATGATAGTTTTACCCCTTTCCCAATTGGATTAGAACTCAAACTTTAGATCCATAAATTTTAGTTATACCCCTAGGCTAGGGTCTATATAAACCCCTTAAAATAATTCTAGAAAATCATATAGAAAATCTCCAAAAATTCCTCTAAAGCCTAGAAAATTGTAGAAAATAGAAAAATACCCTAGAAATTTAGGAAAACTCCTAGAAATTTAGAAGAAGAAGAAAAAAAAAAAAAAAAAAATACCTAGAAAAATTAGTAAAATTAGGAAATTCATCAAAAAATCCCTAGAAAAAAATGAAAATCCTAAAACCTCTATAAAATTAAGTAAAACCTCTTGAAAATTAGAAAAAATCCTAGGAAACCCTAAAGCCAGTAGATTGAGATGCGAATCGGATCTGCACGATCTGTAATGCCCTAAATATATAATTTGAACAACCCTGCTTTCTCTACAAATCTTAAAAAATTAACTTGTTTCGCAAGAGATTTGAGTTGATCTTACTCATAGATTGATCCAAATTTGTGCATAAACAATTTGGCGCTCACCATGGGGCCCACGAGCTTTAGATCCATTTATTTAGATTATAAAAATCTTCCTATAAATTTCCAATAAACATTTTCTAGAAAAATAGAAGGTACGAGGATTAATACTACTAGAAAATCCACCAAAAATACCTAAAAATTTGATCTGAGGCTCCCCAAAACCGCGTGACTCAAACTGAGTTGCGCAATGCCAACGCGAGCCAAGACAACTCGTGCAGCGCGAGCCACTTCGAATCGAATTGTACAGAACTATCGAAATTTTTTTTATAGTCCCATTTTTTCGACCCTATTTTTGTGCTTCCTGCTTTCTGACTCCAGGAACTTGAAAATTCCAGGACAATAAAGAAAAAAAGAAGAGAAAGAGATGGGAACTAGAGTTAGATAAGGCTTTTTTTTGCTTATCTGCTTAGGTTTGATTTGACCCTTTTTTTTAATCTTACTAGTTTCTTGATCTTATCTGCTTAGTTTAAAATTCTTGATCTTATCTCATTAGATTAGATTTTTGACATCCTTATCTTTTGT